CTGCCCGAATATAGTACAGACAGAGCTCCTTTGGCAGTCACCTACAGACTGAAGCCCACTGGCCCAGGTGGGAGCCCAGGCATGTGGCTCACGATGCCCACCCTGGCTGCCTCACCTCCCCCACATCTCAGAATACCCCTGCCTAGGCCGCTGTCCTGGCAGAACGGGAAGCAGGCACATCTTAAGAGGTGACTGCAGAGTGAGTAAGCATGTGAAGGGGCAACTGTCAAACATGTATAAAACCATCAGATCTCAGCTGGGCACAGTGGCTCACGCTTGTAATCCTAGCACTTTTGGAGGCCAAGGTGGGTGGGTCACCTGAGGTCAGGTGTTTGAGATCAGCCTGGTCAACATGGTGAAACCCCGTCTCTACTAAAAATACAAAAATTAGCTGGGTGTGGTTGCACCTGCCTGTAATCCCAGCTACTCAGGAGACTGAGGCAGGAGAACTGCTGGAACCTGGGAAGCAGAGGCTGCAGTGACCCAAGATTATGCCACTCCACATAATTCTCTGTTTGGGCAACAGAGAATCTGTCCCAAAAACAAAACACACAACTCCATGAAATCTCATGAGAATTCACTGAGTATCATAAGAACAGCATGAGGAAAACTGCCCCCATAATCCAATCATCTCCCACTAGGCCCCTCCCTCAACACACAGGGATTATGGGAATTACAATTCAAGATGAGATTTGGGTGGAGACATGGCCAAACTATATCAGAAAGTAAAGGCAGAAGTCAAACTTGGAGGGGAAGTGACATTGTAGATTAGTATATTTTCAAAAGAACTGTTTTTGAGACAAGATTCTTGCTCTGTTGCCCAGGCAGTGGCATAATCTTGGCTCACTGGAACCATCGCCTCCTGGGTTCAAGTGATTCTCATTCAAGTGCCTCAGCCTCCCAAGTAGCTGTGATTACAGGAGCCCAACACCGTGTTCAGCTAATTTTTGTATTTTAAGTAGAGACAATATTTCACCATCTTAGCCAGGCTGATCTTGAACTCCTGACCTCAAGTCATCCACCTGCCTTGGCCTCCCAAAGTGCCGGGATTACAGGCATGAGCCACCGCTCCTGGCCAGAACATTTTTTTGATGTGGATTTAAAAATGCCTCCCCCTCATTCAACATAGATTAAGTCCCTCCCCCATGCCAGGCACTGTACGTGTGAAGCAGTCCCAGCTCTCAATGAGCGTAGGCAGGTACAGAAAGGCTTAAGGAGTTTTCCAAGACCATACTGCTGGACAGTGTATTAACCTGGGATACAAACCCACCTCTATTTGACCCCAAATTTGATGCTGGTGTGATGCTGGTTTTAATTATATTCTGAGAATTGGAGTCATTGAACTATACAAAGATGAGGAGTATCTGTCAGATGCGTGTGTAGTGGTCTGCATAATAAGGAAGAACTGAAGGGAGCAACGAGACCAATTAAGAGACTTTAAAGGAAGAGTAATGCTACAGGCAGTGGCAGCGACAAGAGTGGAGGAGAAAGTTTTGTGATCATCTGGGAGACAGAACAGGAAGTGCTTGGTCATGAGATCTGAAAGAAGACGGGAAGTACAGGGAAAACAGAGCTGCTGAGGCTCTGCTGGGGAAGGCTGGGTCCGGAGCAGTGCCTTCCTCCTGGCACAAAATGCAGAAAGCAATAGGTAAGGAGGAAAAGACAGTTTATTTTACTCTCAGTGTCACATTAAAATGGAATTCTCCGGTCAAAAGTTGAATATAAATCTCTGTAGGCTACATCCATTTCTGACATCCCAACATATGTTTTCAAAAACAACACACATACTAAATGAAACTATTAACTGGGGAAATTTTCTAAAATTTACATGCTAAGAATATCACCATTTTTTGTTACCTTCATGGAGTAACTTTGAATCTATGATTATAGCAAGTGAGAGATCTTGTATAAAATAAAGCTAATGCATGCAGCAAAGCATTTACAATTCTATTGTCCTCAGAATAGAGAAAGCAACTGAAGCCATGGGCGTGGAAGTGATTGCCTTGACAAGTTGTGTATAGTCAAGAGGAGTGGCAAGAAAAGACCTGGAGAATAGGGTGATTTACACAGCATTAAAGTCCGGCTTACAGAAGCGAGCAGTAGGAGTCAAGGGACCTGCGTATGAATCAGGAACAGCTGCTCCTGTGAGTCACTAGAAAGGAGAAGACGTCTGCTTTTCATTTCTGTAACAGCAGCTCCGAGCACAGGGCCTGGTCAATAGATACTCAGTATGCATTACCTCAACGTACAGAGTCAAAGGTTGTCAGGAATGCAGGAAAGCTACAAATCGGCAGCTTAGTGACCGGGCTTGTGTGCCTGTGAGTGAGCTGGGTGTCAGGACAGACTAGTGAACTGGAGGTGAGAAAACAATGACACAAACTGAGGGCTTCTCTTCCCAGGATTTGGCAGAGAAGAGAGAGGAGGAAGACGCGTGGTAAAGAAAGCCTTTCATTCCAAGATTCAACAAAAAGGGTGAGTGTACTTCTATGTTAAAGGAAAAGAGCCAACAGGGAAAACACATTTTTGAGGTTGGAAGAGAAGGAAGAACGAATGCACAAGGGCCCCCAAAGGCACAGGTGTGCAATCCAGATTTCGGACAGATTAGCTTTGGACTCCTACGAAACCAAGAAGGGAGAAAGGACCATGTGATATTTCTGGTCTCTAGAGATACTTCTGGTAGAGGAAAGGTTAAGGAAGAGATCTTTTGATGATCTTTAACAGACTTTTCAAAAACCTATTGTGGGGAGAAAGGATATTATATATATAGAGAAGTCTACACTTCTTGATACACCTAACCAAAAAAACAAGCTTGAAACACCAAACGAAATGCAAATAATGTCTTCCCTAAAAGTGGGTAACACCACCATGCCCAGCTAATTTTTTTTGCATTTTTAGTGGAGAGGGGATTTCACCATGTTGGCCAGGCAGATCTTGAACTCCTGACCTCAGGTGATCATCCACCTGCCTTGGCCTCCTAAAGTGCTGGGGTTACAGGTATAAGCCACCACGCCTGGCCAAAGCGCTTCATTTCAGTGTGCACACCCAGTAGAAATGCCTAATGTTGATGACGGGTTGATGGGTGCAGCAAACCACCATGGCACATGTATACCTGTGTAACAAACCTGCACATTCTGCACATGTATCCCAGAACTTAAAGTATAATAAAAATTCCAATCATGTTTAATTCATATTAAAATCATTGATTTTAACATGAATACCTTTATTGAATCACATCATCTTAAATTTAGTGTTAAGTGATACACTGTATTTATAGAGAACATTCAGAAAGTTTCAATACCTACTTTCAGTTTATTCTTCCAAGTGACTTTTAGACCTCTAGAAATGGATCATTATAAATCAGATTCTAACTTCAGAAAAGAACATGTTATACAAGCATTTCTCAAATTACAGACCCATGTCAATGTTTATTGCTGTTGGCAATAACTGTTCAAGAAGACATTACCCAGATTACAACACGTTTTCTAAAGTCTTTCCATTTTATTTCCTATAAGACCAGTTCAAATTGTAAACCTAATATATAATCAAACAATTATGTTGTTTCCAAATAGACCTTTTCTTGTATATTTGAATTTAATCCCCACCTCTACAATACCACTTTATTTATGAGAAACAAAACAAGGCCAAGTGAGGTGGCTCACGTCTATAATCCCAGCACTTTGGGAGGTCGAGGCAGGCGGATCACTTGAGGTTAGGAGTTCGAGACAAGCCTGGGCAACATGACAAAACCCTGTCTCTACTAAAAATGCAAAAATTAGCCAGGCATGGTGGCACGTGCCTGTAGTCCAGATAATTGGGAGGCTGAGGCAGAAGAATCGCTTGAACCCAGAAGGCAGAGGCTGCAGTGAGCCAAGATCACGCCATTGCACTCCAGCCTGGGCAACAGAGCAAGACATCATCTCAAAAGAAAAAAAAGAAAAAAAAAAAACAACATTGTTTCCTGAGTCTAATTAAGGATAGTTTTAGGAAAGAAAAAAAAAGTCTGCTTTCAAGAAAAACATAATAGCTTCACTTAAATAACTTATTGAAGACATCTAATTATGACACGGCTAACATAATATACTGGGACCGTGCAATAGAATGAAATAGAAAAAATTCATTAACAGAGTTTGGTTTTCTTTCTTTGTGGGAAAAAAGTAACCAAATGTTTGTGTTCCTAAGCTGCCAACTTTTTATTATTTTTTTTGAGACAGGGTCTCGCTTTGTCGCCCAGGCTGGAGTGCAGTGGCGCTATCTCAGCTCGCTACAACCTCCGCCTCCTGGGTTCAAGCAATTCTTCTGCCTCAGCCTCCCGAGTAGCTGAGACTACAGGCACCTGCCACCATGCCGAGCTAATTTTTGTAATTTTAATAGAGATGAGATTTCACCATACTGACCAGGCTGGTCTCGAACTCCTGACTTCTGGTGATCCACCCACCTCGGCCTCCCTAAGTGCTGGAATTACAGGCATAATCAAACTTTCCTTATGAGCACTCCACCCAAAATACATCCAAATTCCCACCCTAGTACAAGGAATAACGCAATGCTTCCTATGTAACTCATCAGTAATAGGTTAATTCTAAATACAAAATATTGAACAGAAATCCAGTGTTATTATTTTGATGTCTTCCTTTCCTGTCTAACCAAAAAAAGTTTCAAAACTAAAGTAGATGTAGTTTTCCAAGTAGAATTTACTTGTTGACAGATGCCCAGTCTTTTCAATTATCCAAGTGGCCCTGCTTGGGGTGGAAAATGTTCAGTCACATTTAGTTATAAGATCTCTGACACCTATTTGAAAGGGAAAATGCAAGCCAAACCCTGTCAGTTCGTCTCTGGAAAAATCAGTCTGTGGTAGTATTGAGAGTAGAACGTATCCCTCCAAATCTCTCTCCTGTCCAATCAGGAACGATGAGAATTTAAAGCTATAAACCAGGAAACTATTTCAGACAGCCTGCTCCAAGAGGAAGACAGACTTACAAGTTGTGGTTTCAGTACCCCATGTCTTCTACAAGTCAAAGGTAAAAGAGAAGGGTTGACAGGGAACGATTCGGCTTCTGGCGAATGGACTGCCCCACGAGGTATGCCAGCTTGTGGGCATAGTGGCAAGGCGCTGGAACTCGAATGGTGCCCTTTAGTAGAAAAAAAAAAACACAACTAAATTTTTTTCACTTCACATCTTTCCCTAAATTTAAGTTCGTAGAAGCCAAATCAGAGGTCCAACATTGTTTAATCTTGAATATTACATTTAAAATATCTAAAAAGTAAAAAGTACTTACTGGCAAATTATAATACATGTGGCATAGACAGTAAGTTAAACGCTGCACTGTATCTGGGCGCAAGCCAATCGTGTCATAGATGACGTTATAGTGAGTAGGGGTAACGGTCCCCTCACTCACAGACTGACTCACGATAAAAAAGTCATACCTGTAATTATAGGACATGTGGGTATCAGCTCATTTGCAAAAGAAGGCATAGTAAAGCTAATGTCTGAAATGAAGACATTTAGTATAACAGCTTACAAAGATCTATTCTATAGACTTAAGTTTCCTTTACATTTAGAAACCTGTCTAACTGATAAATGATTTGAGAAAGCAAATCTGTAGAAGGCAATGAAATAACTGACACAGATAGTTAACTCTCCTAGGATTTTGACTTCAGGTATATGCACTGACACCTAGAGGAAGAAACAAGACTGGCACATTTGATGTGATATGGGTGTAGATAATTATGTTCAGAGATCCTGGAATGAAGACCTGCTGCCTCACTGAGAATCACTGGACTATAAACTTCTTAGACAAGACAAGTGGTAAGACTGATTTCTGTGTATTATGTTGAATTTATTTTTATGTGTACAATCTTATGTCGTACTTTATAATACTTTTTATTTGCTCTTCTCTTTAATCCTTTCCTGCCTTCTACTAGATTGATCAAATGTTTCTGCTTTTCCTTCACTTCCCCCCAACAATTTTTTTTTTTTTTTTTGAGACGGAGTTTCACTCTTGTTACCCATGCTGGAGTGCAATGGCGCAATCTTGGCTCACCGCAACCTCCGCCTCCTGGGTTCAGGCAATTCTCCTGCCTCAGCCTCCTGAGTAGCTGGGATTACAGGCACACGCCACCATGCCCAGCTAACTTTTTGTATTTTTAGTAGAGACGGGGTTTCACCATGTTGACCAGGATGGTCTCTATCTCTTGACCTCGTGATCCACCCATCTCGGCCTCCCAAAGTGCTGGGATTACAGGCGTGAGCCGCCACGCCCGGCTCCCCCCAACTCTTGTTATGAATTTCATGATTTCCTACTGTGGTTTCACATAAGTCTTTCATTTGTATAACTGACTTAACAAGTATAAAGCATCAGAAGCTTTTACCATTTTCCATAATAACTGAAAAATCGTAATATGCTTTAACCTCATAATTCCTTTTCTATGTAAGTGTTACATTCAGTATTTTAGGTCCTGTGATAATATACCCTATAAATTAGCCATTTATGAAATCAAGGGTTTTTTATATTCCATCGTTACTGATCAGCATTGCTTCTTGCATTTCATTCTCCCTTAACTGTTCGATTTCCTTCTTCCTAAAAGACAGTCTTTTGGGTAGTTCTCTCAGTTAGGGTCTGCTGAATCTGTTCATATATATACTGTATATAACTGAGCATGTTTGTATTTCACTGTCACCGTTGATAAGTTAGCTGGGTATCAAATTCTAGCTTGATGGCTATTTTTAAGCATTTTAAAGATACTGCATAGTACTCTGGTTTCCACTCTTGCTGAATGTGATTTTTATTGTTCATAAATATTTATTCCTCTAGTTGCTTTCAAATTTTCTTATGCCTGCTGTCTGAAGTTTCACTGTAACATTTCTAAGTGTGAACTATTATTGACCTTTGCTCAAATCCTTTTATTCTTCCATCAGGATTCAGAATCTCAGACTTTCTCTTTGAATATTGCTTCACCCCACGACACTCCCATCATATCTTATCTACTACTGAAACTTCTATTTGATATTGAACAAATCTTATTTTGCCTTACATTTTTCTAAACATTTTTTTCCATATCTTCCATATCTATGACTCTCCACTGCATTTGGGAATTTTGTGAACATATGTCCCAGTTAACAATTTGTTTTTTTATGTCTAACCTCTTTAACTCTTCCACTGATTTTTCTTCATTTCAATTATATTCATGTTTGTTAGATATTCAAATACAAATTGACCTTTATATTCGACATTCTTATGGCCTTTATTCCTTTTTGTATCATATTTTAATATGTTTTTACATAAAATGTCTGCAACCATTTCATCTTTTGGAAGTTGTGTGTCTAATCCTAATGTCTTAAAGTCTGGCCTCTCACTCATAATGACTTGCTTCCTCATACCAAGAAAAAGACTTTTTTTTTTTTTTTTTTTTTGGGGAACGAGACTCACTTTGTCGCCAGGCACCAGGCTGGAGTGCAGTGGCCTCCTCTTGGCTCACTGCAACCTCCTCCTCCCGGGTTCAAGCAATTCTCCTGCCTCAGTCTCCTGAGTAGCTGGGATTACAGGCACGTGCCACCACGCCGGCTAAATTTTGTATTTTTAGTAGAGACGGGGTTTCACCATGTTGGCCAGGATGGTCTCGATCTCTTGACCTCATGATCTGCCCACCTCGGCCTCCCAAAGTGCTGGGATTACAAGCTTGAGCCACCGCACCCAGCCAAGAAAAAGACTTCGAATTCACTGTTCGGAATTACTTCCTTGTCTCCATGAACAACAGGGCTAACTATATGAAATGAAACCATTTTGTAGCCTATTCAGTACTACTTCTAAACACATCATTTCCTTGTTCAGATTCTTAGGCTTAAGTGTCACACAAAATGTTTCACATAAGAAAAACTGGTCTCTTTTTGCACACTGCTGTTTTTAAGCAGAAAGAAATTTAAAAATAGAAACCTCTGGTCGGCCATGGTGGCTCATGCCTGTAATCCCAGCACTTTGAGAGGCCAAGGCAGGTGGATCACTTGAGGTCAAGAGTTCAAGACCAGTCTGGCCAACATGGTGAAACCATGTCACTACTAAAAATACAAAAAATTATCCAGGTGTATTGGCGGGCACCTGTAATTCCAGCTACGCAGGAGGCTGAGTCAAGAGAATTGCTTGAACCTGGGAGGTAGAGGTGGAGGTGGAGGTTACAGTGAGCCAAGATCGTGCCACTGCCTCCAGCCTGAGAAACAGAGCAAGACTCCATTTCAAAAAAAATTAATTAAAAATAAATAGAAACTTCTCAGGGTACTGCATAAACATTTTGATGGTCATGATATATTTAATATAATTTTATTTGTGATGACTAAATTGTCAATATAAATATCACTTGCTATCTTCTGTATTCATAAGTAAAAGCGTTTTAGGGACACACTGAAGTTAACTCTTAGGGGGTCAGACATTTATAAAAGTTTGATGAAGAAACTTCAACAACCACAAGACGAATCGCAATTTCTAGATCCAACTGAGGAATCCCTGCCTAATAGTAAGAAAACAGAGACCAAATCAGCTGTAAAGAATCAGAAATGCTTTAAGGTGAAGTTATTGGAATTAAGTGATTGTGCTGAACTGAGGCAAATTAAGAAAATTATAGATACAAAAATCACAGGTGGCTTACCATTCGTTCCTAGTCAACTCCACGTCGATGACTGTTCCTGGACGTGGATTTTCAAAGTAGTTTCCACGTTTAAGAAAAAATCTAGTGTTTATTCGCTTCTTCACCACAATGAAAGCTAGGGCGAAACTTTAAACAATTAGGGTAAGTGTCACTACGTTTACTCAGTTTTACCACAGAAGCGTAAGCGTATGAAAATATCTGTTTTACATTCAGGACCCATTCAGAAGAATGGACAGCAGCCCTCCTTACACCCCAATTTTACTGTCTAAGCTCCATGTGCCCGATTAAAGCAGTAAACGAGAAGGTATTTATTCACAGCCACCCACATCCCAGGGGAAGGGTCCCTTCCTCCCAAATTTAGGCTCATTCTTACATTGCTGCTGGGCAGCGGGCCCTCATAAAACAGTTTTACAAAAGTGAAATTTTGTAGGTTTAATAAGTCTTAGGGCTGGAGATCCCCTTCAGCTGACAACACAGGATAAAATAAGGATAAGTGCCAACCACTGGCAGACTACATTCATGGATTTCATCTTTTGAGACACAGCCTCACTCCCTCAGGCTGGAGTGCAGTGGCACAATCTCAGCTCATTGCAACCTCTGTCTCCTGGGTTCAAGCAATTCTCATGGCTCAGCCTCCCAAGTAGCTGGAATTACAGGCACAAGCCACCACACCCAGCTAATTTTTGTATTTTTATTAGTAGAGATGGGGTTTTGCTATGTTGGCCAGGCTGGTCTCAAACTCCTGACCTCAAGTGATCCGCCCGCCTCGGCCTCCCAAAGTGTTGGGATTACAGGTATGAGCCACCGCGCCCAGCAGTTCATGGATTTCTATAGCTATCTGAAGCTAACAAGCCCTCCCACAGCAAGACTTGAAAGAAAATGGGAAGAAGAAAAAGATTCACTGGGGCTTTGCAGTGGAAGCAGTCTGCTACTGCCAGGATCCAGTTCTGCTTTGCATTCTGACTTGGGTGTAAAATGCAAAAATCAAAGCAGAAGGGTCTTTTCTCCCCTCCCCACCCATCCACAGAAGTCACTATTTATATCAAGCACCTACCCTCATCACATACTGTATCGGTGTTTTCCCCAGAAAACATCTGTTTTCAAAGACTGAAATGTAGGGCTAAAATCCACACCATACAATTTTTGAGACAAGGTCTCACTGTGTCACCCAGGTTAGAGTGCAGGGTTCCTAGGCTCAAGTGACCTGCCCACCTCAGCTTTCTAAGTAGCTAGGACTGCAGGCACACACCACCATGCTTGGCTAATTTTTTCTTTTTTCTTTTTGAGACAGTCTTGCTGTGTCACCAGGCTGGAGTGCAGTGGCGTGATCTCGGCTCACTACAATCTCCGCCTCCCGGGTTCAAGCAATTCTCCTGCCTCAGCGTCCTGAGCAGGTGGGACTACAGGTGCGCACCACCACGCCCAGCTAATTTTTTTTTTTTTTTTTAGCAGAGATGGGGTTTCACCATGTTGGCCAGGATGGTCTCAATCTTTTGACCTTGTGATCCAACCGCCTTGGCCTCCCAAAGTGTTGGGATTGCAGGCGTGAGCCACCGCGCCCAGCCTTCTTTTTGTTTTGTACAGATAGGGTCTCACTATGTTGCCCAAGCTCGTCTTGAACTCCTGGGCTCAAGTGATCTGCCCACCTTGACCCCCAGAGTGCTGGGATTACAGGCATCAGTCACTACACATTACAATTAATACAACCTACTTGTTAGGAGAGATGGTTTGTAAGTAGGTCCACATCGGTTTTGCTTCCCGGTCAAGCAATGCTTGAAGCTGACCATCTCCCACTCCATCTCGATATACAATAATAGAACGTGGCATCGATGATTCATTTTCACACCAGACATCCAGGGCAGCTGAGAGGGAAATCAGAAACTTGTGTAAATAAACCGTAACTCAAAACAAACTAGCCTTTGCTGCTTTTGACAGATTCTAGGTCCATCTTTCAACACTGCAGCTTTCAGGGCATACTTTAAGTCCTATCTATTACAGGGTTCCTCAGCAACAGCACTATGGAAGTTTTGATCCAGAGAATTATTTGTGGAGGTGGGGTTCAACCTGGGCATGGTAGGATGTTTGGCAGCATCTTTGTCCTCTACCCACTAGCCTAAATGGCAGTAGCACCTCACCCCAGTTGTGATACCAAAAATTAAAGGTTCAGTCATTACCAAGTGTCCTGTGGGGGCAATGGATCACTGGTGGAGAGCTACAAGACACTGACCTTTCAAGCAGGTTTGCAGCTCATTCACAAGCTCCTCTCCTGTGGCCTGGATGACACATTGAGAGTACCACCTGTTTATGGAAAAAAATAAACCACCAGTTTGGAAAACAAGATTCTTTTTTTTTTTTTTTTT